TTTGGGGTGAAGTAGAACGAACGATCTACACTCATTCGACCAGACCCTCCCGTTGAGGGAGGGGCTGGCTACGCGAGACTAGTTCAGTTCATGCATGGCGCATGGCAACGTAATAGGGGCGGGGCTTAAATTGTATTTTGTGATATCTCCGTAGACTATCATGTACCTAATGTCTTCTCACAGGAAACATGCTCAGTCACATGGAACTTGCTCTTCTTGTGAAGTAAATGGTTTTATAGCTAAGAGAAATTCTGTATTCCTTTTTAGGTGCTAAAGAAAGAAAATGCTTCCTTGAAATCAGAGCTAGAAACTTTAAAGTATCATAAAATAAATTATTATTATTACTTTTGAAGTAGGATTGACTACACTCAATTAATAAAGGAGATGTCAGTTGAGAATTTTAGTGAGAGACGAGCCAATTTATTAAAAGCTCACATACTCCAGCTGGAGCGACAGGTAGGCCCCTCCCATTTTTGTATCATGTGACCTCATTACAGTTATTAATATTATCTGATGCTCTTGACGGCCAGGTTCAATTGCTATCTGATCTTCAGGTTTATGGGGAGGCACTGGAATATAAGATAAAGTATGTTTAAGAATTCATGTAGTGGAAGTACATCACGTACATGTATTGTTATAGTACTAGTGGTTGGAATTTGCCAATGACTGCCTGATGTGTATGCTCAATAATGTAATAGGTGAATAATATTTTTAAAGCCAAAATTACTACATGTAAAATGTACTACCTGTACGTGCATATAATGCTAATGCTACTACATGTACATTTATGAGTAATTTTTAATGGCAAGTAGTATTCTTTGATTAATTTATTTTTTAGAAATAAAGAGCCAATTGCTGAAGATGCAACACGTTTGAGAAAGTTAAATCAAAGGCTTAAAAAAGTAAAAACCTTCTACCTTTCTCCTATTCCCCCCTCCCTCTCTCTCTCAAGGTTTCATGTGCCAGTGAAGATGTTGCTCTACCTTTAGTGTATACTGGTGGATTATCAAAGCCACTCACAATATTGGACTCTTTATCTAACAAAGATAATATATCACTTAGAGAAATAGTGAGTACTAATGAGTACATGTGCCAATGTATTATGTGCTTACTGGGAAAGAATTTAGTGATACATGTACATGTACTTACGTGTATGTTATGTAGAAAGCTTGAATGGATTTCAATCATAAAATTGGATTTTTATGAACATTTAAAGCTACTCAAAAATTGAGTTCAATTTTTTTCCAAAACTTAAAGAAAGAAAATTCTTCGTTTTTGTAATTTTATCTGATACATGTACATGTAATTATGTTGTAGAAAGTTTGAACTGATTCCGATCAAAATTGGATATTTTATGAAGTTTTAAAGTTACTCAAAAATCATACCAAAGTCCCTGTACCATAATAGTGCAGGGTTATTGGCCAAATTTTACTAAAAATGATGAAGTGAGAATTCTCTGTTTTTATGATTTTATCTGATACATATACATGTACTGATGTTGTGTAGAAAGTTTAAATGGATTCCAATTAGATTTTTACAAATATTTAAATTTACTCAAAAATGGGGCCAAAGTCCCTTTACTATAGTACAGGGTCGTTGGCCAAATTTTGTCAAAAATGACAAGGTGAAAATTCTCCATTCTTATTACATTTTCTGATGCATGTACATGTACTTATGTTGTGTAGAAAGTTTGAGCTGATTTTGATCAAAATTAAATTTTTAAGAAATTTTTAAATTTACTCAAAAATGGAGCCAAAGTCCCTGTACTATAGTACAGGGTCGTTGGCCAAATTTTGTCAAAAATGACAAAGTGAGAATTCTCCATTTTTAGTACATTTTCTGATGCATATACATGTACTTATGTTGTATAGAAAGTTTGAGCTAATTCCGATCAAAATTGGATTTTTTATGAATTTTAAAAGTTACTCAAAAACTGGACCAAAGTCCCTGTACTGTAGTACAGGGTTTTGGCCAAATTTTGCCAAAAATGAAAAAGTGAGAATTCTCTGTTTTTATAACTTTATCTGATACATACATGTACATGTATATGTTCTTATGTTGTGTAGAAAGTTTGAGCTGATTCTAATCAAAATTGATTTTTTACGAATTTTTAAAGTTACTCAAAAATGGAGCCAAAACCACTGTACTAAGTACAGGGTCTTTACAGGGTCCCACCAAACTCAGAAGTAACTGATGACTATTATTTATTTTTAAATCCAGAGTTGGATGGAGAGTGAACTATCAAAGCTACATAACCAGTTACGAAGGCTTCATACCTCCCTCTCTTTATTACCAAAGTGTACTCCAAGTACTACCTACTCTAAAGGAGGTTGATCCTCTTTATAAACTGCTGGATCACTCAAGTATTGAAGTGTCTGGCACAATGGATCTGTATCAAC